AATTAGGTTTATTCTAAAATGGGTAGGTTAGACCTTTTTATAGTGGTAATAACTTGGAGAAAAATAATTTTCTCTAGAGTCGTCGAATAATATCCAACTTTTTAAGTTTTTTTTTCTTTTTAGATAAACATCCATATACAATTTTTTAAAGCATTGAGATAGCAATAATAACCTTTCTTAAATAAGAAACAAATCTTAGTTAAAAGGCAACTCTATCAAATTCTTCCGGTCAGGAAAATTCATATACTGTTGTAAAAATTGTTGATCTCTATCGTAAGCAACATGTGCCTTCAAGCTCCTTGATCTTGGCTTCTCTGGAACCCTAATGATGAGGACATCAGAGATCAGCGGCTACGATCTGGAGTTTATTTTTTGATGTGTTTTATGTACTAGTTTATTTTATATTTATGTTTTTTCCATTTTACCCCTAGGGGTGGTCATGTGGTGTTGTAGCCCGAAGGGCATTTTAGTCATTCTTTCTTTTCTTTTCTTGAAGCCTATTTATAGGCTAGTTCTCTTGTATTTTGGCTTAATGAATGAATGAATTATAAAAAAATTCCCGCACATGTGTTATTTGGAGAGTTTTGAGAGTTATAGGAGAGAGATTTGAAGAAATCCCTAGGGAGGGAAATCAGATCACCCACCAACCTTGGAGACGGACGGATTCGTGGTTCTTCTTCCTTACCTTTCGTTCTTTCCTTTTCCATTCCCTTCATCCTCTTCCATTGAGCCACCTACATCCCCAACCTCCTAGCCAACGGATTCCCTAGCCACAACCCACCTTGCCACCGGCCAATTCCCCCCACCAACCCATCTCCCCTCCACACCCAAACCGGCCCTTCCTCTCTCACCACCAAACCATTCAAACCACAAACACTAAACCTAATCCTAGGCTAGCCACCGGCCATAACATCTTCCCCAACACCTCCAAAAATTCAAATCCCTTCATTACTTCTTTCCTTTTCCATATAAACATTTTGAGAAAGCTTTCAATCCAATCAACCAATCAATATTTGACATTCAAATTGTTTCCTAAAATAGAATTCTATTTTAGGAAACTTCTCCAATCAAATCCAAAACAAATTTGAATTGGATTGAAATTAATTCTTCCCTCCTTAATTGGAATTCCCAAAGAGGCAAGCATTAAAACCCTCTCCCCAATCCCCTCCCCTCCTATGGATGCCGCCGGCTCACATGCCTCCTTCCCCATGTAATTTCTTCCCAAACTTGGAGTAGGGAGATTGAGAGGGAAACAATTCAATTTTTAATCCAAATTTCAGATTTGAAACATTTCCTATTTGGTATGATCTATATTAGGAAAGTACTAACTCTCAATTTCAAAATTCAAAATTGAATTAAAGGAGTGCTAAGTCATCCTTCCCTCCTAATCTATTTAATTCAATTTTAGAAACCCTCATTAAGCTTCCCCAAAAGACCACCCTCTTTTGCAGCCGTCGGCCCCTCCATAATTCCCCTTTTAAACTTCAAGCTTACTTGTTGTCCAGAAATTCCTGGATGCTAGAGGAGGTTGTCCTCCCTTCCAAACCTGGGAGAACTATTGTCCAAGGCCACCTGCCTGCTGTCCAACCCTTGTGAAGCCATCGTTACTGCCTGAAACTGTTCGAAATCGCTGTCCCAGGTTGGCTGCTTGTTGTCCAAAGGTTCGAGCTTGGGTTGTTGCTGTCCGAGCCATCCAAGAGGCCGCCAACAGCTGCTCAGGCTTGCGAGGAGGTTGAAACTTAGCAAAGGTTGAAATCTTTCCTTAGCTCATACCTTCCTCGTTGATCCTTACTTGTGGTTTTGATTGATTCATGTAAAATCTTGCAACGCTCCGTTAAAGCTTAATGTTTAGTAGAGATTGTGTGAGAGATCTTTCATAGCACTACTCTTATTGTTAGATTTGGGATTTCTTGTTGAAACCTATCTCGTATGCAATGTCAAGAGTAATTAATTGTTATATGGTTTTTACTTTTCGCAAGTAACTTGGCCTAAGCTTGTGTTACTGCTCTTTGTGTTTTATTTTATTGTTCACCATAAAGCTCTAATTAACTTGCTCTTAATCATCAAGCATGCAAAGTCTTTAAATAAATCATAATTTCATATATGTCCTGCATCACCTGTACTCTGATACCAATATGATGTAAGGTTTACAAGATCTTTACAATGAAGGCAGCAACTTGATTTGTATCCTCTTGTCGTGGTGGTGAAAGGGTTATTTGGGTGATGGTGAAATGTGTATTTAGGGTTTGAATAGATTTGATGCTGAAACTTTTGGCCCTTATGAAAAAATGTAGGCACTGCAGATCAAAAATTTAGGATGTTAGTAACCTAAAATTCATGTTTTAATGAATTTTGAATTAGTGGTTAAGTTGTGATATTTTTTAATTCAACTACTCACAAGAAAATTGTCTCTCTATATTAAGATTGTGGCAATAGTATCATGGAGTTACTGAGGAGTTGAGACCTTGAAAGGTTGTAAAGGATAACGGGGAACAATTTGGAGAGAATTTTGAAGATGATAGATGCATTTTGGGGTTGAGGAAAGCTAGGCTCAAAGCTAAGTGAGAAGACAAAAACTGTGTGGAAAGAAGATGAATAAGGGTGAGAATAGATAAAGAATGACTCACCAAAGCCCTAAGAGATCAGCCACCAAGCGTCACCGGAGAAGCATAAAAGCCACCAAGCTTTTCTACATGAAATTGCACAAGCAAAAAAAAATTATTCCATGAAACAAAAATTACATAGAAATGTCCTATTTATAAGCCTTTTTCAATTCTAAACAACTTTCAAAAGCATTGGACCCAATAAAATACTATTATATTGATAGATAAATTTCCTAATACAAAAAAAAAGAATAAGAGAAAAGAATTTTTAAAGCTTCCAAATACAAAAAATTTTGAATTATACAAATACGGTAAGTAGAGTGATCTTGAAATCAAGCAATTTAGAAAAAAATTTACCTCATTGAATGGTATGTCCCACCTACCCATCAAGGAACCTTAATTAAACCTCTTAATTATTCTTTAATAATTTTTGAAGTGATTATGGGTCATTCATGAGCTTGCATAGAGAGTTGTACATGATTAACAACCTAAATTTTAATGTAAGGCTTTTATTTGTAGCCTTTTTATTGGCCTTAGTCATGGTGTTGCATCAATTAGTACGATGATTTATTGACTAAGCCTTGATGATTATATAGGCGGGGTATGCTGAGGAAATAGAGTTATGAGTGATGTTGACAACTTAAGTGATAGGGTTGCTTGAAGGTTGCAAACAACATAATCAAATCTGAAGTGAATTATAGTGAAGCTGTTGAAGCAAGCAAAGCAGCTGACTATGGAATGAGTGGGGAAGCAACTTGAAGATAAGGGATCAATGTCACCAACAATGATGCAAATCAGCAAATGAAATCCTTTTTCTCTATTGTGTCCTGTTAAGAGTCAAATTCTCATCTAAATTTAATAAAGAAATGTCATTTCAAATATTTTCTAACCAAGCCTTTTTGAAAGCACATTCCAAAAAAAAATACAAGATGTTAGTCTTATGCAGGCTTTTATTAAATGTGTAATTAAAGTTTTGTAGTTTTTGAACTGTATACAATTTCTTTTAATAAATAATATAAAACTTTCATTTATTTAAATATCAAGCTATTCGAGCTGAGCTCGCAAGTCGACGAGTCGGATCTTATTAAGCTCGGACTCGAGCTCGTTTAATATACAAGCTCGATTTTGAGCTCAATAAGCACGACTCGCGAGCTTGTTATTGAGGCGAGATCAAGCCAGCTTGGCTCATTTACACCTCTAATATGACATCACTATATTAAGGTTACAACCTAAGCCCAAATGATCTTTTGATGGCAAAACCTACAAGTTGTGAGGTATAAGGCGCATGAAGTTTTTTGTTAGCCAAGATCAACTTAAAATGGGTCATTTGTATAAGTTTTTCCCCAAATCCATGAGGTCTTTTGGCCAACACACCCTAAGATTGTTGATAAGAATTCTTCAATCAAATTAGTCAACTACCTTTGCTAACTAGATAACCAAGGTTAATAACAATTTTGAACAATAGAGCCATGAGATTTTGAAAAGGATTGTTATCATTTCCCCACCATCTACACTAAGTAAATAGACATAAACCTTTTCCTGCAACACAAAATAATGCTAATAAAGTAAAGTAACATAGAGTCTATAAACTATCTTTAATCAAAAGTTCTCGTGATCAAGAAAGAGAATTAATTATTATCTCGAACCAAATCATAAAGTCCTCAAAATGAAAACTCATCTTATCAGATATCCAATGTCTATTGAAAAAATCATTCTAGAACCATTTTAATACAGACAATGCCATATAGGAATTTTCATAGCCCATAAAGATCTACAACTATGTAGTTAATGATAAATAATTAAGAGGTTGGTCATGCACCAATAAGACATGAAAATAGAATTAATGGGAAAGGACTATAAAGGATAAATTCTAGACCAAAATTATATGGTAAAAAAAAAAGACTGATCTAGCATTAACACCAAATATAGCACTTATAGAAATGAATAGAAGAGTAGGATTCATAAAACTTACAACAAAGCTAGGAAGCTACGATAATGATCAAGAATTTAATCACAGATAGCATATCATCAAAGGCTCTTTAGCATCCAAGTTGCAAATAAAAATAAGGATGCTTGTGATAAATATTTTGCAATTGTGTTATTATTTTTACTGACGCTCTAGTATAATTCCCCTTAAGGAAAATCATGGTAACGTTTAGATGCTCTCGATATAACTATCTGAATCCATTCATAAATTTATAGCAAACAAAAGAATGCAAAATTTCAAAGAAGATCAACTCATCTGAAATATGTTACTAGAACTTCATTGATAGAACTTTTTAAAGAATATGAAGAACGTTTGCCAAGTGTATGTGAAATACAACTAAAAGAAATGTCTATCAAGAAAAATTTTAACACATTTGCCAAATAATATTCTTTAGGGTTTGATGAAATTACCACAGCCAGAGTAATTAAGCAGTTGGGCATTCTTTTGCAGATCCGTCATGTAATAAACCTACAAGAAATAAAGAATTCAAAGGGTGTGAATGGAAAAAAGTGAATGCCAATTTATATCCATGTATGCATTTGCTGCCCTGACAAGATTGCGCACACCAGTGCAATCTGCTTCTTCAACAAATGGTGTGAGTCCATTTTATAATCTTAGAAAATCACTTTAAAAAATAAGGATTTTAATTAGCACCTTATTATCAATACCACGAAATGAAGTGGTATATGGGTTATTATCATCTGCTTCATTAGTATGGTTGTAAACCACATCTAAAATGACCTGTAAAACAGCCATGATGAATTTTAGTTGAGCTGCAAAAAAATAGGTACAGATAGCAAGTAAACATGCGTGGGTGGAATTCAGTGTATCATGGGTAATAGGAGACCTGGGTGATAGGAGAATAGGTAGAATACCTCAATTCCAGCATTATGAAAAGCTTTGACCATTTCTTTGAACTCTTTTGATGCAACCAAAGGTCCAGCTCCTGTGGTAGCATATCGGCTCATGGGAGCAAAAAAATTCATTGTGGAATACCCCCATGTGTTGATCTAGTAAATTAACATAATGTTAAATTATCAAATCTGAGTAGCGGTGACCAGAACATTAGATGTCAATAATATAGGGAAAAAGGTTTTACTAACACTAACATATTGTAGAAGCTTGGGTTAATATAATGGAATAAAAAGAACAACAGGGACAAAGAATGAAGTTAATTTTAATAGTGGGGAACTTCTAGGGAAGAAAATGGATCCACATAAGACTATTTTAGATGAATGTAACTTCCGGTAGCTCCCATGAATATGAAAGATAGTTGAGTTCCCATGAATATGAATGATAGTTGGTAGGTTTCTGCAGCAAGTAAAAAAGATGCTAACCATTTTCGGATACTAGTAGGAGATCACTCAACAAAAGCCACTCCCTCCCTCAGACCTCCTTAATGTAATAATAAGAACTCAATAGTTTTTCTTGAGGTTGATTTGGTATATTTAACTAAATTTCTTCTGATGTGTCAAAATTTATTTAGATCCAAATTCAAGATATCCTGTGAGTGCAAACTCTCATAGTTAAATCTCACTCTTACTCTCAAGACAGTATTTTCAATTAAGTAGATTTTAAAAGCTCCTATTTTAGGCTAATATTTAGTAGTTAGATATGAATTTAATTACGTGGGAATAATTGGGAATGAAAGTGAATCCGATCAAAATCCATGATTCTATAATCATTGCAAAACAGTGGATCCAAAATATATCAAGGTCAGAGAGTTTTGAAACATGATGTCCAAGAAACCTAATGAGCAACAATGAGTTTCCTAGTGTCTACAATAAGATAACCTGAGAAGATAATTGGAAATGCGTGCGTCGAAGACATGCTTCAAAAGTTAACATTGACTTGTTCATTGGCAAAGGTTGTGATGAGGACATCAGCAAGAGATTTCGATATGTGTACCATCGACGGAATCGTAGATCGATGGCTACGATTCAGAGCCTTTAGTTTTGATGTATTTTATCTTTTCTTTAATTTGCCTTTCAGTTTTCCTAGTTTACCCCTATAGGTAGTGAGTTCTTATTGCAGCCCCGAGGGCATTTGAGTCTTTCTTCTTTTATTTATTATTGAGGCCTATATATAGAGGTCTTTTGCTTTGTATAAGGTTAATGATGATTAATAAAATTTCATATTTCTGCCTCCTACTTTCTTGTGAGTTTTAAGAATGAAGTGAAGCCTAGGAGTGGCCAACGAAGTACCCAACAGCCCCTTTCTTAGGTTCTTGGTTTTTTTTTTTCCCCCCAAGCCGACAGCAACTTCCCCCCCTACCAGCCCCATCGCCAGCTTCCATCCATTCCCACCACCGGATCCCATCAACCCCTCCCCATCCGCCGGCAACCCTCAACCCTAAGTGGGATTTTTTCAAATTCAATTAGCTCTTAATTGCTTTCCTAAAATATCCTCAATTAGGAAAGAGTCTTTATTTGAATTCAATTAACTTTTGAATTCAAATATTTTCCTTATTTATAAAATCTAATTTAGGAAAGTTACTAAATCTAAGTCTAATTTAAATTTAAATTAGTCCAACTTCCTAAATTAAATATCTTGATTTGGAGGCTTTTGATTGCTCCCCAAAATCCCTCCCTCTCTACATACCCTTGCCCATGCCACCTCTATCTCGTGTTAAATCCCCCTTCTCTCTCTCCAATTTGCTCATTAAATCCTAATTGAATTTCCTCCCTAAATCTCTCCTAGCCGCCACCTCTTCTAAAAGCCCAAAATTTCGGAAAGTTTTGAATTTCAAAACGGCTTCCCTCCCATAGAAAATCTGAAATCAAAATTTCAGATTTCTCCTACAACCTTTAGTCTTCCTTCCATATCCCAATCTCTTGGAACCCCACCCTAACCTAGCTGAAACCCTCCCCTTTCCTCTCACCCTCATAACCTCTCCTCCAACACAAATCCTTCAAGGATCGAGTCAAACAAACCGACGTCACCTCCATGAATGGTCGATCCTGAAGTCGACCATGGGTTTGCATACAACTCCCAAGGGCAAATCGGCATCCTTCAGTCGCCCTTCTTTGATCCAGACTGGGAATTTGAAGATTCAATGGAAAGCTACGTAGATCGCATACTCTATCACCTCGCCGAGACAATTGATGAGCAACGCCCTGGACAGTGGCAAATCATCGGCCGACCATCAACTTCCCCTCCTCCGGCTACTTCTCTGGCGAACAATACCTTACGCGTCACTTGTCTTATGGTAGCATCATTAGGATTACTTCTAACATTTCTCCGCTAAACACCACTTACAAGAGCGAGAGTGAGGGAACATAGGGTGAACACTTCTGATTGTTAAGCCGTGGATTTTTGTTTTACTTTGTCATTAGTCTTACTTATTTACTTTGTTATTATTTGCAAGCATCATTTCAATCTCGTTGTAATCGTATGCTATTACATGACTTCTAATGAAAATTCAAGAATCTAACTTAGTGAAACATAAGTTTTATAATTGGCAAAGCTTTGTTCACATTATTATTAATTTCGCAAAGCAATTCTCGTTTTCATACATGTTTCACATCAGGTTGACACTGACTCATTTAGAGGTATTAAGTATTACTAAAAAAGAGCTAAAAGACATGGCATGACCACCAATTATCTATGAGATTCGATTATACTCGAAGAAGCAAGTATACTTAATTGTTGAGTTTAGATTTGATAAACGAGCTTACGATCATGGGTGCTAGTAAAAGTTATTTTTTATTGGGGATTTTGTCTATTGGTTGGCCAAGGAATCTTGTATAGATGAGTTTGTTTGTTTTATCTTAGTCAAGATTAATTTGGCTGAGGCCTATAACCTCAAGGCTGAGGAAAGCCCATATAAGGTTCTAATTTAATAAACTACGAAATTTATGTTAGCCCAATTAATTAGTTTGGGGCTCATTATTTACCTCTTATCTTTGTTGGAGGCTCCAGCTTATTAAGTTCACCATGTAGAGATATTTGGCCAAATGTTTTAGATCTCTATCTATCCCAAAAGATGTTCTAAAGATAATAAGCAGTTGGTGATCGAGATTCATTTTTTGATAGAGGAACTTCTCATAATCTCCACTATTTATTGGCAACATGCAACTATGGCTTAATCTCAGGGTGGCATGGGACATCCATCTCATGCCATCCTTAATATATTATAGAAGATAAAAATCTACCATGAAAACTTTTCAGAAATATAATCTCATGAACTCGTACATGAATGCATGCTTTCCATTTGGCTTTGGAAATATGGGAAACTTCTTCGTTATGGAAGGAGTATAAGTTGGCTGGCTCTCAAATGTGGCAAACTTTTTTTTTGGATTGGTTTTACTAAATTTGTCTCAGTATAATGTAATCCTTAGTTAAAGAGCTACTCTTTGCTGGAAAACATAGATCCTCAGGTTTCTTCCCTATTTAATTCACCTTTACATTCTCATGTTAATGCTAGGAAGTTCCTCTAATATTTCTAACACTACTTGCCTAAACGTTATTAAGATCATTACTTTACAAGAGGAGGTTGTGGTCCTCTGGAATGGAAACATAACTTTCACCTTAAATATTACAAGAAAAGATATCTATTGGAATGTTTAAGAATTGAAAGAGGTTGGTAATTCTCGCTCACATTTAATCTTTTGCTTCCACTATATTCTCTGTGGTTTACAAAAGGAATTCCCTTTCTAGTGGCCGGATCAATCTCTTTGAGGCTTCTCTTCTTCCAAATTTTAGATCAAAGTGACTCTTGCCACAACCATAAACTTATCAACAAAATATTATATCTTTTGACTGTTTTGGTTATCATCTATAACCTTTATATGGGTCAGTATGCTTGTATACATAACTCTATCATCGCTTCGCCTAAAAACCATCAATTGAAGATCGAACTCCTTATTTATCATGAACTTTTAAAAGTGAGTTGCGAAACCCATAGTGATCTTCTAAGTTGAATGACTTAATTGAGTAGGATGAACCATTATTATGTTATATCTTCTCTTTGTTGGTCTTATATTGATTTATAAGGATTCTCAGTTTTTTTTTTTTTTTTTTGCTAGCAGCCTGCCACCCAATTTCCTGATGATCATGTTGCTCAAAGTTTTTTGATCTAAGTTCTTGTAGCTTTTGCTCTCTACAAAGCTAACCTTTGTTGATCCTTTGTTAGTTTTGCCTATTCCTGAGGCTTCACAATGCAATGCTTAGTTCAATTATATCTAGCTAGTGGATTTTAAGCTCTCTTTGTGGCTAGGAAGAGGATGATGACGTCAAGAAGTCCTATAGGCCACCCTATTCCCATCCCTAGATTGCATTAATTTGCCGGTAAATAAACCTATATTTCAAGTTCTTATCCTAATTTGAGGATCTTGGACTAGCTTCTTTGCCCACATCCGTCCATGATGTGGGAACCCTTGTCTATTTAACACTGCACCTGGGAGCCGATGCAGCGGCCCTTGCTCACTTGTCGGTGTATTCAAGCCATACAATGCGTCATTTCCAGGGAACACTCTAACATTAACACAATGTATTAAAGGATCATTGACATGATTATTCGACAAGTCTTGCGCTAATTGTCGACTATCTAGCGCAACCTTCCACTTTTCACAACCAGGACTTGAGACCTAGCAACACTTGAACAAACACATTGCAAAAAAAAACAACCGCGTATTTTTTTTTTCCTATTCTATTCTCTTTCAGTTCTATATATATATATTCCTTTTTTTGAGTTTATAAAGGATATCATATAGCCTTTAAATGTATTAGGATTTATATAAAAGCGCTTAAACTCAAGAGCTGGAAGCCAGCCAAGCCATAGGAGGAGAAGAAAAAAGGAAGAAAAGAGAGTGGGGTTTTGAGGGTTTTTTGTTAATATGCTTTAATGCTTATATGAGAAGTAACTGTGAGGTAAAGTTTATTTTGCGGTTATTTCAGATAGCTTTGAATTCTAAATTAAAAAAATGTTATAAATTGATAAATTTGTGTTTAGCTGGCTATTTACAAAAGAACATAGTTTAGAGTTAACAGTAACGAGGAAATGGATCCTGTATTCAATCGTCTGTCAGGAAAAAAACTCACATATTAATTCAATAAGCAAACTCTATCTTAATCATTTGCAAGTAAATTCAAATGTATTGAAAATTGGATATAAGCTACGCGATAGTTTTCATATTGAAAGCGCAACATTTTCGTTCTACAATCCATGATTATAAAATCACACGTTAAATTTACATAATGAAAAATACATGTTAAAGAAATATGAGTGTATTGACATTTGATGCAATTTTTGCATTTTAAAAAATAGGACAACTTGCACTTACTGGTTACAATTTTTTTTGCAATGTTAATTAACGTGCTTATAAAGAATGAGATATGTATTTAAATGTGCAGCACTGAAAATGAAACAAGCATATGAAAGGTCATTTATGAGGGATAGGTTGGCCATAATATGATATGATCACCTGTATACGTGGACAACAAAGGTGAGCCCTTGGAGGCAAAAGGGTCGCCAATTTAAATATAATATAATCACATGCATAAATGGGCAAATAATTTTAATATGGTATGATCACATGTATAGGTGTGGCGACAAAGACAAAGACGAGCCCATTTACAGGCAAAAGAATCCTCAATTTAATATGATATGACCATTTGTACCATTGGGGCTACAAAGACGATCAACAATCTGCCTCAAGGTTTACACCTCACCTCACTAAGCAAAACATCTCAACTCCCGATTTCACCTTTCTATATCTTGAAATATAGATGATGTAAATTATAGTTCTTCATGAAAATTTATTGATACTAGTATGCCTTTCATCATGAAAAAGAACTTTTTTTTTAAAACCAGTATATAGGTCATGCAAATACTCAACACATAATGTCATAAAATAATCAAATGCATGTCTAGGAAATGTAACAATAGGCTATATAATGGCTAAATTATGAAGAGTATAAGAATTAAAAATATATATAAAATCAAAGTTTATGAAATGTTGCAAGTATAAAATTAGTTTCTAGTTTCAAATTAAGAGAATGTTTCATATTCAGGCCCATACAAAACTTGGATTAATAGAAGGCTTATCCGACGATAGTGATGGTAAGTTGAAGAAAACTCCACTTATACAACTTTGGGCAACCCGCATACGCAACTTGGATCAATAGAATAAACTCAATTAGCATTACAAATTATTTTCATTCAATCAATCATGAAAAGTTAATAATAAACACAAACCATCAATCTCTATTTATAGAACTTGGGTTGCAAAGATAATGCAGAATAATTTAAAACCAAATATTAATCTGATTTTAAATTAAATATAATCGTTGGAAACATTTAAATTCAAGCCTAATATTATTCAAAGGAAGATAATTCATTATATCAGTAAATTAAATAAAAATTGTAAAAAATTCTGCAAGAAATGAATATTGAACTTAAAACTATTATGGTTCAACCATGTTGCAGCATGATTTGATTTCTTGTAATTGACCTACAAAAAATTGGCCTTTTCGCGTCCATGTAAAATTGTTTAAAGGGTCATAGTTTATCAGATAAATGATGTAAGATAATAATTTGTTGATCATGTTTGTGTTCATGTTTGTGTTCAAATGTTCATTAGAAAGGGGCTCATTATTGTCAAATTCTTAAATATGTTAATTGATAAGATTTGAAAGTTAAGTACTAAAAGAGAATAAAAAATGAGGAAAAAATTTGTTAAAGTTATTATCAATGTCTTTGTACAAGAGATTTTTGTTTACATAGACTTGTTCAGAGGCCTTAGATAAGGAAATTAATCAAACTAATTACAAAATACATAAAATATGAATGAAATAATCCACATAGGAGCCGATGCCTTTGAGAGTTCACGGATAGCGATTCGTTCAAGGGCAGCATTCCAAGGGTTCAAATGTCTCAATTCTTGTGCTCTAGAATTCCAAACTATGAGGCCCACAATCCCATGCAGGAGGCACGGAACAAGGAGAGGTGAAGCAGATCCCTTACACACTCCCTATCAAGCTACCATGAAAATACCACTTGTGGGAAGCTTGCTAAGTAGATATTCAAATTATTATTGTTGTAAGTAATTTTGTGAGAGCATCAGTAATTTAATTTGTTGTATGCATGTAGATCATACATATCACACCACTGTTGTTGTGTGCATGTAGGTGGATTAATCTACTTAGCCCATACATATCACACCAGTAGAGCTATTCCTTCTCACCTATTTTAGATTTGTAAATTTGTTATGCATAAGAATACTCTATTCTAGCTCTGGGGCTACTTTTGTAGATGAATGCTTGGGCTGTTCAACACTTCTTCTCCTTTGTCTTCTAGATGGGTTTTCTTTAGATGAGGAAACTTTATCATCATACCTTATGGGTGATACAGCCTAGTGGGCAAGCTGTGGGGCTCAAGTTATAAGGACCCTCTTCAAGGCAGAGTGATGGGGACATCAGAGCATGGAAGGTTTATCAGAGGCGTGGCCGGCGATCTACGGCCACGATCGAGTCATTGTATTTTTTTTTATTTATGTTGTCATGTTATTTTCTTATTTATGTAGTTTCTTATTTTCAGTGTCGTATATTTGTTTTATGAGATTTCTAGTTGTACCCTTTTAGTGAGGGATGTCGTATGTAAGCCCTGAGGGCATTTTCGTCTTTTATTTCTTGAGTCTCATGTACTAGGCTATTTATAGCCCTTTCTTTTATTTTTCAAGTAATGAATGAATGAATGAATGATTACAAAATTTCTTCCTTGCATGAGTTTGGAATTCTGCTTCACCTCTCCTTGTGAGAGCTTGAGAGTTTGAAAGGAGAGAAATCCCTAGGAGAGAGAGATCGGATCACCCACCAACCTTGGAAACGGTCGGGTTCGTGGTTTTCTTTCTTATCTTTCTCCTTTTCTCCTTCCACCACCCATACCGGACATCACTCCACCCAAACCATCTCCAACTCCAAGCCCTCATCTCATCCTAACCGAGCTCCACCAATTTTCCCCCACGAGCCGCCGGCCACCTTACCCGAACCCCCCTTCTCCCGCCGGCCCTAGCCTCCTCCTCACCTTAAATTTCATTGCCTAATTTGGATTGGAGTCATTGGGGCAGATTTTTTAATTCAAATCTAAACAATTTGACATTCAAAATTTTCCTTAATTTCTTAAATCTATTTTAGGAAAGTTTCTAAATTTATCCTATTTGAATTTCAAATTTAAATTGGAGTTAATTTGAAACTTTCCTAATTCCTAAATCCAAAATAGGAACCCCCAATCAATTGCCCCCAATCCCCTCTCACTCCATGATGCCGCCGGCCCTCCCTTCCCCATCCCATTAATGCTCCTTTAATTACTTCCTAAACCCAATCCTTCACTTAGGAAATAATTTCAAATTCCAAATCTCCTTTGGCCAAAATTTCCTAAGCTCATACACCTCCTTGTTTCTTTCCAAAATCAAGTCTTGCAAATTGGAAACAATTGGTTTATGTTTTACTTCGTTGTTTTAAACTACTAGTAGTTTTCTTCACTATTATTATAATCAAGAGTTGTGCAAATTCCTAATAAAAACATTGCATTCTTATGTAGTCCTGCATCACCGAGGCTTCAAGGTGAGACAACCTTTCAAAGACATAGGTCCTCTTTTGAGGGACCGCTTCAAAAATGGCGGTTATGGTGGCTTGCGCTTAATGCACGGGAAAATGTGCATGTCATGAAGGCATTTGAGCAGAATTAGGTCTCCCAATGTGCCCTAAAATAGTAGTAGCCCTGGCATTGGTTGTGAGCAACTATAGTCACGGGTGTTGATAATAGCATTAGTCAATTAGATGCTGGCTCTATGTCCCAACTAGACTGTAAACGAGGTAGTCTAGAGATTCATTCTATACAAATGAAAAACGAGATTAGAAATCAAAATTTGATGCATCACCACTCGGTTTCAAAATACAGAGACTTAAGATAACAAACTAATATAAACAAATGAGCAAGCTATATCATAAATACAGGAGTTTATAAACAAGCGCTCATTTAGGACTTCATTTTACAAATGATTTTTTTTGTTACTATAACTTATATACAATATGGAATGAGAAAATTCCCCAACAAAGTTGCCAAAAATCTGTGGACTTAGAAAATTCACGCCCCCACACTCTCCGCATTTAGGGACGATTTTAATGAATTTGAGTTAAATTTTTAGTACGTATATTAGATTATAAATAAAATGCTGCCAAGAAATTTCATCCTCATTTCGCAACGACTTTAAAATCTGAGTTCAAGTTTCTCATAGGTGCAAACCTCTATTGTAAATTAACCCTCCCAATGATGGACTAACACTTTCGATTAAGACTAGTCGTTAGATAGATACTAAATATCGAGCATATAATAACAGCAAATTTGATGTTTAGAATTTAAAATTTATCATCTTGTACTTAAAATGGATGATAGGAATGATGACAATCCATTCAAGATCTCCTGATTCCATCATTTTGAGTTGTCAATCTCTCATCTACTTAGTTAGAGGAGGCAGACAACTCAAGCTGATCGATAGAATCTTATCATCATGATGGCTTATTTGGTCTAAGGGTACTTTGTAGAGCTGAGTAGATGTTTGTCTAAGAAGACATTCAAGTCTGGCCTTAAAAAATAGCTTAATTCAAGCACTTCTACATTACCACGTTCATTTTTTATTAAACTGTACATGAACCAAAGCATGCCTATAATTCATAGGATAAATATGAACGTTTCCAATGAAAAAAAGGAATTGAATTAGATAGCATCTGCATAAGATAAGCTTGTCAAAAAGTACAATGATTATTCAACGCAAACCTCAACACATATATGCCATATGTCTCCAGTTTTGTTCTTTTGAGGATCTAATGGAACTTCAATCCTGCTTTTGAGCAGCTTTACAACACCATTCCTATCAGTAAAAGTATTAGAAAATTTTCTCAGAAAGTCCGGAGTAAAATTTACATTGTAGTTGGTCAAAACCAATTTCAAAAAAGAACACTTCATTGAAAATCCAAAAACTGAAATCCAACAAGCATACTAAAGAAGAACTCAATTAAGAATCAGAAATAGTTCATACTTTAGAATACAAAAAAGCCATGCCTCCATTGAGTGTGTGCAGAAAAGAACCATGCACATGCTCAATCACGAGCATACAAGGTACTTTACATAACATGTCAAAATTGGTGAAAAGAATTTTGCATGTCCAAATTAAAGCATTCCGATGCATTTTTAAAAGAAACAGCAAATTTACACACTTGATAGCATGATTTATCACAGATTATAACAACAGGATGGTTTTGGTGCTAAATTTCACTTGTATGATCAGAATCCAAATGACCATCAAAATAAAGATAATTTTAAAAATTCAATGGGTGCAAATAAAAGAAAAGCAGCATAACCAATTTCTAGGCACCACTAACTAGAGGCTTTTATACCTACTAACCTTCAAATAAATAAGTTCAATTCATATTATGATCATTTTATGGTAACCCAACATAACGTACACAGATATTCATGTATCATCCCTCCTCATATCATTAATAAATATATATATATAGTTCAATTTTCAAATTTTCTCCTACATACAAAATATACAAACAACTTCACCGCCAAAAAGTGAGGAAATAGCACCTCTCGGAGATGGATATGCAGAGAATTACTGAAGATGCATGCTGAGAAAACAAAGCAAAATTGATTCCACCGTCAACTATTGATGCTCCAAGCGGATGAGCCCTACCGACAAAATATTTCAACGGGAGACCAATCTCTAACATCTCAGAATCTTTTTCCTGGAGGAAAGAACTTAAACCATTGCTATGTTGAGAACAATTACAAAACATTTAGATGAAAAATTGCAATACAATGCATCTTATCCATGCATAAAAAAACTTTGAATGATGACTAACTTTCCTGTCAAATACTTTTTAAGTTCAAAGGGGAGATCAACTGTATTATGATGGTTGAAATGCATAGTTCAATTTCCAAAATCAGAAAGAAGAACAAGAGACAAGAAAACGCTAACTCAATTCATCACCAACATTATTATCATCAGCCACTCCCCAATATATGAGGCTACAAAATCAAATATGGATTCATTCATAGATTTTTGCTTAAGTTTCATTATTAGAATTCCATACATTAAAATCTGTCAGAATTTTAGTAACAATTTGCTTTATTACATTAGACTTGCTTAATTTCTTTTTTTTTTAAATAAGATTCAATGAAAATGCTCAATCTATGCTATATAAAATGTTAAATAAGAGGGCTTATGATGCAGGGCAATTCGGTTTTTCTAATGCAACTAATATGATACATGGTATAAATACATGCAAGGCAAACTAAGAATTCAGACATCACAAGCTGCCAAATAATTCAATCATTTGCTTTCCTTAATGTAAATAAGCGCTATTAGAATTAAAACTCAAACAATAATGTAATAATCAAAGTAATCCACGAAACTAGAAACCCATAAATGCAATGAGAAAATTGAATTTAATTTCCATAAGTTGTAATTCAGACTTGTCACTTTTATCAAAATCAAGAGCAATAAATCAGCAAATAACAAATTATGTAGATAAAATAAATAAAAAACAAAAAATAAGGAAAACTAGGCCTCAAGCCAATAGAAAGAGATGATTTCCTAGGAATTAGATAGTCACACTAAAACCACACTCAAAGGAATTACATAATCAACTAGCACTCACAAATGTGAAACATAAAAATTTTACTAACCTCATAAAAACTATTTAAAAACATCTTATCCCCTAAGCTAGTAAATATAGTTAACATAAAATAAGTTAAAATAAAACTTAAATTAAATTCCAAAAGAAAATGAACCACTGGATTTTAAATTTAAACCCATCTAACATTGTAGATAACCAGCAATAGTTCTCTACTCCCGCATCAACATGAAGTGTGTACAACCTAAATACTTCTCTACTCCCACATCAACATGAAGTGTGAACAACCTAAATACGGCAACTCCAAGATGAAAGTTCTACACAGGTGCAACTTCACAAAAACGCATGCGTTAACACAACTGCAAGAACCATGTGCATGCAAGCCTTTCACAAAATGTAAAACCAACAAGGCTGGACCGCAACCATAGCCCCTATTCATAATTATCCAAATGCCAACATAGACACAACAACAATATCAAGCATTTATCCCACTACATGGAGTCAGCTACATGAATCATTTTTCTTTATTGTGTCCTATTAGGAGTCAAATTCACATTTAAACCTAAAAAAGAAATGCACTTCTAATATTTTCTAACCAAGTCTCTTTAGGTCTACCTCTAATCCTCTTAACATAAACCATATCTAATACATCTACTCTCCTAAACGGGTAATCTGAAGGCCGCTATTTTATATGACCAAACCATCTAAGACGACTCTCTATAATCTAATCTGCCACTATAGCTACTCCAACCTTTTAACGTATATACTTGTTTCACATTCTGCTAAAGCTACTCATCCACCTTAGCATCCTCATCTCTGCAACACTTAATTTTATGCTTCACTTTTAATGGCCAATATTCTGCGCCATAAAGCATTACAGGTTTCACCACCATCCTATAGAATTTTCCCTTAAGTTTGATGGATACTTTTCGATCACACAATAGGCATGATGCATTCCTCCACTTCAACCAACCAACCTGAATTCTACTAATAATATCCCATTTATTTCACCACCACTTTAAACAATAGAATTGAGCTATCTAAAAAGTGTACTCTTTTTAATAACTTGATCGCTCAAAATCACAATCCCCCACTAGATCTATTACTACTAAAATTACACTCTATGTATTCAATTTAGATCTACTCAAATGAAAACCTTTAGACTCTAAAGTTAACATCCATAAATTAAGTTTTCTTTCAACTCCTTCTCCGGCCTTATTAACTAGATGAATATCATTAGCAAAAATCATACACCAAGGTACATTCACTTGCAAATGTCTAATAAGAACATCCATGACAAAAGAAAGAATATATGGGCTTAGAATTGATCCTTGATGTAATCCAACTGAAATAGAAAAATACTTGGTCAAACCACTTTGTGTTTGGACACAAGTAACACCTGTAGCATATATATCTTTAATGACTTAAATATAAGTATTATTAACTCCTTTATTTTCTAGGACTCTCCAAAGCACTTCTCTTGGAACATTATCATGTGTTTTCTCAAAATCATAAAATATAATATATAGATCCTCCTTATTCTCTCTACACTGCTCAATCAAACTTCTTAATACATGTATAGCTTTCATAATAGGCAAGAATCAAAATTGATGTTGAGAAATATTAGTATCACGTCGTATCTTATGCTCAATTACTCTTTCTCATAGCTTTAATGTATGACACATTAATATAATTCCTCTGTAATTCGCACACTCTTATGTATTACCTTTATTCTTAAAAATAGAAACCAACACACTCCGCCTCTCATCTAGCATTTTTTATTCAAAATAATATTAAAAAGTTATAAGTCAAAAAATTCAATCATCTCCTAAGCATTTCCACACCTCTATTAGAATTTCATCATGTCCAACAATTTTTTTTCACACTTCATTTTTCTTAAAGCCTCTCTAACTTCAGTTTTGCCAATATGACGATAAAAATAAAAATCACAATTTTCATTTAAAATGTTTAAGTTATTAAAGCTCAATCATATTCTCACAATCTTTATTAAAAAACTTATCGAAATATCTCATCCACCTATCTTGAATGCCCTCTTCTAACAAGAACATTTTTTATCTCCATCATTAATACACTTCACTTGAACTAGATCATTACTTCTACCTCATTACTTGGCTAACTTATACATATAACTATTGCACTCTTTAATATATAATCTATTATATAAATCATTAAATGCTAAATTATTTGCATCGTATACAGCTTTCTTAGCATCCTTACGAATCTCACTACATTTTTTCTATTTTTCTAAGCTTTCACATCTAAACAAATTTTTATAACAAAACTTCTTATTTTTTATCTTTTCTTAAGCATTTTGATCCACAACTAACAATTTTTACTATTAGGAGTTTTCCGTTTGACACTCCAAACATATAATTTGCAACATTTAATATCACTAGTTATTTTTTCCCACATACTATTAGCTTCATCATGCACCATCAAACCTTAAGATCTAGAATCCTCCTCTCAAAAATATTTTGTTAGCATTTTTCAAATGTCCCCATCTAATTCTATGATAACATTTTACTTTTTTTTCATATTTCACCCCTTCATCTTAAAGATTAAAACTAATAAGTGATGTTGATTAGATAAACATTCACTCAGTATGACTTTACAATCTTTACAATCTAAATGATTTATTTTTCTTATAAGAAAATAATCAATCTAAGTTTTATTATATGCATTCTTATAAGTAATGAGATGCTCATCTATTTTATTAAATAATTTATTAATAATTACAAAATCATAAGCTAGAGCAAAAATCTAATATAGTCATATCGCCTTTATTACTCGCTCCAAACCATAACTATTATGAATGATATTAAAATCTTCCACCACTCTATAAATATGTCCATTTAAATCTCCTCCAATAAAAACACTTTCTTCAAAAAATATTCATTTTATTAATTCTTCTAAGTCATTCTTAAATTTTAATTTTGAACACATCCAAACATACTTGAGAAATATAAACACTTATAATATTAATAATCTTACTATTAACAACAATCTTTAAAACTATAATTTTATCTTCAATTCTATTAATTTTTATAACATTATCCTTCAAATTCTTATCTATAATCACATAGACAATGCCTCAAAATTTCCACTGGCCAAGGAAATAACCTCAGACTTTAGAAGGAATAAAATTACCAAATGTTACCCCAAATATGAATGTTCAGAACAATGGTTGCAATAACCGGCCAACCACAACATCATCAATTATTTGTGGGAATTGAACTAAACTCGATTAAAATTGGAATTATGCCAAGCTAGGTAAAGTTATGAAATAAAACACAACTCTTTCTCTGATGTGGCACAAACATGCAAGGACGATTATATTAAGGAATTTGCACGCTTAATATTTACAGCACAATAATTATATCTTTATAGTGATTTTGAACAACAACATAAAACATAAAGAGCGGTGACATAAGCTTAGGTTAAATCACATGTGTAGGAGTTAAGAAAGTAAAACAATCAATTAGTCTAATATTGCATACATGGAAAGTTTCAACAAGAAATCCCTAGACTAATAATGAGATTAATACTATGAAGGATCCCTCACACAACTCTATAATTTATTAGGCTTTAGCGGAGAACTAACACGATCTCAGTGAATCAATTAAATTCCACAATTGAAAGTAACGAGAAAAATACAGAGTGAGGGAAAGAGTTCACCGAAGGTAGCCGACGATGGATGGATTGATTGACGTCCCACTATTATCCACGATCCGGTTGGAAGGTGTTCCTCAATTGACGGTGCCAACGTGAAGACGATGCGTTCAACGTAGCTTTCCACGGAGTCGTCGATGTCCAAATTGAAATCAAAGAATGGAGATCGAAGAATGTCAGTCCGGTCCAGAGAATCCTCTACGAACCCATGATCAACATTCGGGTTGGCCTTGCATGATTGTCTAAGAGATAAAGTAGAGAGTGAGAGGGGGAAGGGATCGGGTAGGTTCGACCAAGCAAAGGGGAAGAAGGGAAAAGTGTTAAATCTGAAAATAATTTCAGATCTAGTGAGTAATTAGAGAGTAATTTCCTTGAAATTTAAATTTGAAACGAGTGGGAATTAGGAGGGAAAGTGGGGATGGAATTGAATTAATTAGATCATTAATTTATGGGACCTAATTAATTAGAGAGATGAGGGGGAAGGGGCCGGCCAAGGAGAGAGGAGAGAGAGAGAGGGGTTAAGCATTAACGAGGTGGGCCCAAGCAATTAAGGGGATTGAATACTTAAATCTGAAATTAATTTCATATTTAAGTTAATTGGGTGGTTTCCCTAAATTAAAGGAGGAGAATTTAAAAAGAGTTTTGAAATTCAAATATTTTGAATTTGAATTTAATTCTCGTCCTAAATTAGTGGGGCTAAATTAAGAAAGCATTTATGGTGGATTCAGATTCAAAAATTTGGAGAGAATTATGTGACCAGCGGCTATTGTGGGGGAGAAGATGTGGCCGGCGGCTTTAGGTGGTAGAGCAAGGGGTAGGTGGGTGGAGGCTTCAAGCCGGCGGCCAAGGGCATGGGCTAGGTAACTTAGATCCACGAATTTGAGCACTTTCCTAATATGGATTATGTCAATTTAGGAAAGAATTCAAAATCTGAATTTAAAATCAGATTTTGAGTTGGAGCTCCCTTCTAATCTTCATGCTCCACTTTTGGAAAGAGGCAAGACACTCAATTTTGGATCCATGGGAGGGGAAGGCCGGTGGTTAGGGTTTGGGGTTTGGGTGGAGTTTGGCTAAGGAGGAAGGGGTGTGGGTTAAGTGGAAGGGATCTTGTTGAGGTTGACTGGCGGCTTGGGGACTTGAAGTGGCCGGCGGGTGTATGGGGAAGAAGAGGTGGTCGGATGTAAGGGAAAGGAAGAGACTAAGAAAATACTAAGAGTACTAACCGCGAGTCCCAGAATCCACCGGCGCCTGACGGGTGATGCGTGGCCCTCTCCTAGGGTTTCTCCTCTCAAGAACCCACAAAGAGATCAAGAATAAGAAAGCTGAAATTTTTATTCATATTCATCATTAACCCATAATATAATAGAACTAACATATAAATAGGTCTCATTGAAAGAAAAGAAACAATGACTAAAATGCCCTTCGGGCTACAACACCACATGACCACCACTAGAGGTAAAATGGGAAAAATAAAAATATAAAATAAACTAATACATAAAACATATCAAAAAAAATAAACTCTAGATCGTAGCAGCTGATCTCTGATGCCCTCATCATTCTCTCACCATTATCATTGGCATATTCCATATTCTTAATTACAGTAATAATATGAATAAATAAAAAATGCATAGATTATTGCTTGATGAGATGCCTTAGACAAGAACAAAAATTTCCATCAACTTCAAAACTAATACATTATTACACTTGGTAGTCACCAACAATTCAGCTTTGACATTCAAAGAACTTGAAAGCATATCAGCAACCCCAATTCTGAGGAATAACCCCTTAGTCCCTTTTTTTTTAAATTTCCCTTAAAATTCATGATCTGATAACTATCAAGTAGATAAATCAAGTCCATTATTAATTTCAATAAATAAAAATAAGTTATAAATTTATCACTTAAAGAGAAACATGTAGTAACATGCAAATACATGTATGCATAAAACAAGAACAAAATAATCTAAGACACATGCGTTTACACATGCTTTGACATAAGAACATATGCATGCATTGCATGCTCATGCATACTAGAACACATATGTCTATTGTGTTCATGCAAATCCATACTGTACAAAACACCCTACATAATATAACTTTGTGTGCATAACTTGTATTTACAGCAAATAGATAGTATAAGCCAACAATATTTGATATTTCATGTGCCAAATGCATTAGATCCAGAGAGAAGATGTCCTTAAACACTTTAAGTCTCTATTTTGTTTCAGTAAAACATCTGGGAGTAAGTTCTTCGTACCTCTAAAACACTTCCTTCGATGCCTTGGTTATACACCCCTCCAACGAGACGGTTGGCAAGGTTGATTTCCCTAACCTGTCCAAATCATCAAACTTTTCATGAAATGAAAATAAAATTCAAACCATAAGAGGAAAATTTATGAATCCAGAAGAAGTTTACACAAGACTCATGCCTTGCTAAATATTTCATGAGACCTTGAAGAAATAATAGATCTACACATTCTCACTCTGCACAAACATTTGGGAGAGAAGTTAATGCTTCAAATTATATTTCTTCCGAAATAAGACGGACTACTAACTATATAATTTGAAACAAGAGATGTCAAAGTCAATGTTAAAGCAAGATTAAACTTCTACACAAGTGAATAAGCATATGTCTGCACATCAAACAATAGCCGAGGAAAATGTCCGCTGCAAGCATAAAGCCAAATATCGCACCAATTCAGTATTTCAATTACAAGTAAATTTACAAAGGTCTCATTACATAAGGAAGCCATGTACAGACAGAAACCAGATACTAAGCCACCTCATATGATTATTAATATTTCAAACATATTATCTGTAACCTACAAACTCTTTTGATACTTCCCATTCACATAAAATCCTTCAAAATTTCAGAATGAGTAATGCTGGTAGCATAGTATCAACTTCCTACCAACAAAATTTTGATTTAGATCATTTCAGCCAGTCAACACACTATTCCACCAAAGTCCTACATGGGTCCTGGTTGGGTACCCATGCCCACCCATTGTGACTTCTGGGATGTTGTAGCCACCGATACCCACCCACTTTTTTTCACGCTTTTTGAATGCAGTCCACAACGGATTAATGGCCTTGAGGTCTTGTTGCCCTTTGCTCTAACGGCAAACTTTCAAGCTGCATATCAGAATTTAATGTGGTCGCAGTGCGGTTCAGGAGGATTGTAGTAATATAAGCCATACAGTGATTAGCAATGTAAATCAGTTTATCCCTCGATGTTGAGTACCCACTCATACTCACCCAATAGGGTATGGGTGGGTTCGTGGAGGGTGTGGGTATGGGTACCCAATACAGGGCTTTGTATTCCACCCGATCATAAATCACGTCTCTTTTAACTGTAATTTTCTTCCTCCGGAGACCTTCAAAAGCTAAAGCATGAACGTTTACATGAAGGAAAACATGCTAGGGTTACTAAAAAGCTTCACATTCAATACGACAGGTAGAGAAACTAAAGAGAAGCAAGGAAAGAGAATGAAACCCCATGCCGAGTTCGAAGGGGGATCGAGAACCGTATAGCGAGTTGAAGCCGTGACTAGCATTGCTAGAAAGAGTGGAGACAATGGACTTCACTCCATGGCTTGGAAGGCAAAGCGATCCCATGGAAGTAAAAGAGAAGAGTATACGGAAAGGAGATTGGGGCTTGGGGAGTCTGATCCAGCATCGAAGAGTGCAGAAAACCGGTAAAGTTATACTTATAGGCTATAGCACCACCGTAGCGATCCCGTCACCGGCTCATTGACCGCCATCCCAGTAGAGGAGAGGCGGTTTAACTCTTCGACTCCCCGGGGCCATCGGATGGGATGTTGTGGCGCTAATATTATATAATAATCATAATTTGATCATTGAGAATAATTATTATTCATTCATTCTATTTTAAATTACTAAAATTAAATATAATTAATTCAACATTTTAAGGAAATAAATTTAAGATGACTATCTTATTATTTTACTTTAAGATCATAATCATAATTCTTATTTGACTGCCACTTTTTTACTACTTTCACAAAATTTAGTAGGCTAAAAAACTATTTTTTACAATAAGCTTCAAAAAATTATTTTTTTCACTATTGCATTAAAATCATATTAATAAAAAATTACAATTATTCAAAATATGATGAATTATTATTTGCGGACACCGAACGCCGTCCAGAACCCAATGAAAATGCGCCATGTTACCCCTACTCGGTGCCGCGACTCGATACTGCTCGATACCAAGCTCGGTACTACTTGGTACTAAATGACATGGCTACACCGTGGCTGCTCCTAATTGGCCTCTGAACGATAAACTGTTTGGTATCCACATAGAACAATCTATCCCAAAATAGGCTCTTATATATCATTTGGGATAGCTTTTAATTTTTTTTTATTTTTAAATATATATATTAAAATTTATTTTTAAAATAACAAAAACATTTATAAAACTTTAATCATACTCAATTAATACAAAGTAATCAAAATAAAAGTGATGAGAACATATTTAAATTTAAAACATCAATCCAAATGGCAAAGAGAGGTAAGATCATCTCCAACCGAACTACATATCATTGTATGCAGTCCACGAATCGCTATATTTGAGCTCTAAATCTCACTTCAAACATCGGTAGGTGGACATCAATATTGACTTTTATTGTTCAACTATGCAAAAAAAAAAGCGATTACCTTCGTGCTTTGCTTAGTTTCGCAGTAAGCATGCGAAGCATGAGAGAGATGATTCCTCAAAAAAGAAGTGCGCAAAAAAAAATGAAATTTCATTAGAGATGAACTACCCCATTTTAAAAAATTTAAGGTATTTTAGAGTGGAAAGTGAAAATTTCTGTTGGAGATGCCAAGTAAACTCATGCCCAAAAATGCTTTTTAATTCATTAAAAGAAAAAAATAAAGCGGTGACAAATTTCAAGCTGGAATAGCCACGTGTTGAAACGAACTCTAGAGATAGCTCACGAAGAATAGCATACTTACGTCCACGTGTAGCGTCCGTTTGTTTTACCCTAATAAACAAAGATAAAGAAATTAAAAAAAAAATTATGCGATGGTGAAAATGGACGGAGGAGAATGCACCGATGTAACCCTGCAAGTTGACTGCCCACATCGTGAATTGATTGGTTATTTATTATTTAATCTTATCACGCAAATAGCAAGAAACTACCAATCACATTCATCCAATTAATAAATTATTCATATTTATTATCATTGTGTCACAGAAGTTAAACCTATCCGTATCTCAAATGAGACCAATCAAAATAGGCCGCGCGTATCATGGCTAGATACCTATCGATATCATAGCTCAGTACGAATCGATACCTCAGCTCGATACCGCTGACGTGATTGCTCCTAATTCGCCTCCAAACATAGAGTTATATAGGGCCTCCGAACAAAATAATTTCTCCAATAGACACTTCACAATTTTTCAGAAAAGAATAGTGATCATATCAAACTACGTGCCTTTATTTTGATCAAGGTTGCCATTTCCACCAATTTTCAGACATTCTGCACACAAACACAAATGCTCATAGCATAATGCTATTTTTAAAATTTAAAAAACGAATTGAGACAACTTGTTATTATAACATCAATTAAATAACAATCCTAATTTTATGTAATTATTATTTTCTCATTATTTTTAAAATTTTCTATACTAAAAACTTCTTTATAAAACAAAATAGCCAAATTAGTTTCCTCCCATCAACTTCACAGTCAATTTCATAAAAAAATTACCACCATTACATACAAACCCTAAGATTATCCAACTCTTCAACACTGTCAAAATATTTTTTCAATTGATTAAAAAAAAAAGAGCTAAATAAATCTAACTATTTTAAAAAACCAACCTACAAACGAAATTTTGATGAGAATAGTATGATATATTCACCCCCTTTTACAGGGAAAAAAATTGTTTTGCATGAAAACAGCTGAAAGTAGGATTTTCTGATAAATGTTCTTCAAAAATTAATGTTTTTTTTTCCCTGTTAAATCTGCCACTCATCCTCATCCTCTTAAATTTTCTGTGGTTTTTAGGCCCCTCATGCCACAGTCATATTCGAATAATATTTCTTACATTTTTTAGAATTTCCAAGAAAAATAAACAAAATCGGCAAATTCCTTTCAACAATACTATTTTTACTATTTCTATTATTTTCTCCCTCCTAGCTGGAAAAATTATTGTGTCCGGACTCAGTACCGAGCATACCGAGCGCCCAATGACGTGGCGTTTTTTTATTGAACTCTGGATGCGTTTAGTGTCCGGACACAATAATTACTCCCTGACTGGTGCCTTGATGGAACAAAATTGCAAAGGACAATAGAATTGTAAAAGGATAAAAATTACAAGGACTCGACAATAATCTCCTAAAAATAAATTACTTGTTGTGGGAAAATCCATATAGCTCCAGTTTCTATGGTTGAAATTGTTCAGCTAAGCAAGAGGTGATTGGAATGGAGCACAGCAAGATGAGATATCAATACCAGCAACCTCCATGGCATTGCATACCCACACTGGAACATCGCCTTTCGGAAACTGCAAATCCAAAGGCCAACAAAAATAATACAAACGATCAGAAATATAAATTCAAGCTTTAATAAAAAAAGGAAACAAGCATAAATTTCAACAAGCGTTAGTTGCGCAAGCACTTGAGTAAACTCTCCAGATTTTTGGAAATTGCTTTTGTTATGTAGTTTAAGGCCTTCTGCAATCGAACATCAAGTATGTGGCGTCGTTCGGTCGCTCCAGCCAAACGTCAAATTTTCCGTTGTTTGCTTGTGGTTGAACAGTGCGACGTCAATATTAGTGTCGAACTGTTCACCAGCTAAATGTTTTTTTTTTTAATATAAATATATGATTAAAAATATATAAAATAAAGTATGGGAAATAATATACTATGAAGATTCTTTTTTTGTTATCAAAAAATGGAGTTCAATTGGAGACGAGTTTCTGCATTTTGATGTATTACTGTATTTTGGAGTGAAAATTGAGTTTTTTCAGTTGGAGATGCCCTAAAGACAATGCTGAACCGTTGCCCTACTGGGGGTTTTCCTTTTCTTATCAAGTAGCCTCTCTGCCATTGTAGGATTGTGTTAAGCTTAACGGTCTGCTGATCCTACTCAGATATAATAGGGGTATCCTTCAGCTCAATTGAACTGTCCCAAAGCAACTGGTTTTCAAGCCTTAAAGAGGCAAGAAAACGAGATAACTAAGTAAAGGAGGTGAGCAAATGCGAGAGTGAGGGCGAGAGGAGAGCAAGAATAAGAGAAAGAGTGATGAAGAGAGAGAAAGTGGGAGGTCGATCGAGCTAAGGTGAACAGGAGGTCGTGTAGGTGAAGAAGCCACAAGCCGGTCTCGCAACAAATCATACTCAAAAGTTTTATCTTGTGTGAAAAGGAGACCCGAGAAGACTTTGACATCAAGCAAGATCGATTTGGGAAGGAGGAAGAAATTCCTAGGTCTTTGCTTTCTACTTTTTCTTTTAAAAGGTAAACCTCAACCTTCTGATTTCAGTTCATATTTGAAATATAAGAAAGATTTGATAGAAATGTATGGTAAGTTTTTCAAGAGAAGAAATGTATAATCTGTTGAAGGATCAAGGAACCCACAGGTCAATCGATCATGCTAGAGATCTTCAAGCATACGGATGAAAAGTCCTAATCATTGGATCGATCATCTCATAACCCTTAGATTATAATTCTTGTGTCTCCACTTCCTATTCTAGCTGTCGACCCATTTTGGGACTTTTTTTCTCATTTTGTAAATAACTTCGATTTATTTCCATTGTAGACCATTTAAAAAAGTGTATAAATACTTCCACACTTTGTAAGGAATCAAATAATAAAATTCAAAATAACTTTTCTACTCTTCTACAAAGTTAGGTTTTTGCTTTCTCCACTCTGTTTCTTTTTTTTCTTTCTTCTTGTCGAGATCATTTCTTCTCTGATTTCTTGGACTTCCCTTCCAAGGACTCAAACATTATGAACAGTGAAAGTCAAATTAAAAGAGAGCTCTCGAGGCTACAAGCTTCATATTGCTTAAATAGGTGAAATTACCTGAAATGGTCCCAAATCGTGAAGACATCTGTGATTGAATGGATAAAGATCCATCATTTTCTAGATCCTTCACTGGAGTCAAAATACCCAAAAGTTATACTTTAGGATAAAGAAGATTCATGATCATGACATGGTTGTACAACATCATGTTACCGGAAATCAGTGGATAATATATGATCTTCTCCACCACAAAAGTTAGGGGTGTTGTCAAGCAAACATACTCAAACATAAATGATGTTACCCACATCTATAAGATCAAAACCGAAAATTGAACAATCAAGCAAGGTAATCTTAATGAGATCGTCAGATTACATGGTTTACCAAAGATCATTGTATCTTATAGAGATATCAAATTCACGAGTTCCTTTTAGAAGACTCTCTGTATGAAAATGGACACCAAATTATAATTTTCCATAGACTTTCATCCTCGACGGATGGTCAAACTGAAGTGGTCAATAGGAGTTTAGGAAACTTGCTGAGGTCCTTAGTAGGTGAGCACGTTAAAGACTGGGATTCCAAACTCCCCACGGCTGAATTTGCTAATAACAATTCTGTGAACCGCACCACTGGTCTGAGTCCTGCTAAAATTGTATATGGGTACAAGCTTAGACAGCCTTTAGATCTCATACCCATGTGTCATAAGTATAGGATTTCTGGATTTGCATCTTCATTTGCATGAATTGCATAAAGAAATTGCACGCCATATTGAGAGCAATGCAAATTATAAACTTTACGTCGATCTTAAATAAAGATTCAAGAAATTCAAAGTTGGTGAGTCGGTGATGATCCGAATTTGTCCAGAAGATTTTCCGAAAGGGGCCGTTAAGAAATTACATGCTAAAAACACAGGGTTATTTAAAATAATCAAGAAAATCAATGACAATGCATATGTGGTGGATCTACCTACATATTTCAATATTAATCCCTCTTTTAACATTGAAGATTTAGTATCATATGAGGGTCCAAAGTTTAATCCACCTAATCCACTACAAATTGAGCTTTGTGTGACCCAACCCTGTGAGAACCCAAGCCTTCCTCCACTTCCAAATATTTTCAAAACACTTATTGCAGAGAAAATTGACAAGATTTTAAACGATGACATCATTTCCATGAAAGAGGATGGACGAAGAAGATATTTAGTAAGGTGGAGAGGTAAGCCAGAGACAAATAACACTTGGTTAGAGCGTGAGGCGCTTCAACGGATTGATCAAGAAGCACTAGAGATCTATGAGAGCACCCGGGACGCATAATCAACGGAATAGAGCTCTTTTCCACCCCCGATAGAATGATGAGGACATCCGACCGTGGAAAGTTAATTAGAGAAGGGGCCGAAGATCTACAACTATGATTGGACCACTTTATTTATGAGCTTCTATGTGTATTTGATTTATTTATGTATCTTTTTCCGTTTGTACCCTCACTTGAGGGAGTAGGCTTATGTGACCCCAAGGGGCACTTTTGTCATTAGACATGTCATTGTATTTTGGTCATTTATAGACCCCTCCCCCTCTTTGGAGAGGATGATGATTATTATGAATGAAAAATTTCTACACCTTGTTTCTTGTAGAGTTGTGAGAATTTGAAGTCCCTAGGTGAGGGAAAGACATCACCCGTTAACCGCAAGAAGCGTCCGGGCTTGCAGTCAATCTCCTTTGCAAACTTCCCTTCCCTCCTTTCCTCTTAACCGCCGGCCTCCCTCACCCCCTATGCTTGGCCGACCCCCACCAAACCACCGACTCCTTTCCTCCTAGCCGTCGACCTCCCTCTCCCTCTACGCTTGGCCAACCCCCACCAAACCACCGACCCCTCCTTTCCTCCTAGCCGCCGATCTCCCTCTCCTCCTACGCTTGGCCGACCCCACCAAACCGCCGGCTCCACCTCCCCTCCTAGCCGTCGGCCACCACTCCTTCCCTTGACTCTCAAAATTTCAAACCAAGCATTCAATACTTTCCAAAGTTGGCTCATTATAAATTTGGAAAGTCAATAATTTCATATTCAAGTAAATTGAAATTTGAAATTTCTTTCCAAAATGAGAAGAGATATGTTATGAAGGTTTCCCCCAATCATGCTAACATTAATTTGAAAAAAGGTTGCCTAAATTTCCTATACCCCAATTACTGTCCTAAATTTAGCAACCTCTTTAAACCCTCTCATTAATTCCCTCTCCCTGGCCTTGCCGCCCCCACCCCTCTCTCCTCTAATTATTAATTTCCCACTAATGCTCCCCAATCAATTCCCCTCCCATTTGGGCGTGCCGCCCCCTCCTTACCCCTAATTTATGGTCATTCAAATTCAAATCTCCCCCAATCTTTCCTCCACTTAAAGTGGCCACTAATTCCTATTAAACCCCAATTGATTCTTGTCTTAATTTGGATGCCACCTAGACAAGAAATCAATTCCAAAATTTTGTTAATTGCTGGAATTAAATTCAGAGTTTACTATTTGCTGCCCTTCCATACTCATCACCCCAAGTAAGGAATTAAACACCTCTCTAGGGCCAGCCATAAGCACCCCCATCCGCCTCTCTACACTTCTTCTCCTTCGCTTGATGTTTTCACCTAAGGAAAAATAAATCCTCCTCCCTTGGCCGGCCACATCCCAACCGTTCCAGCACTTTAATCCCTTGTCGACTACAAGGTGTGTTGGCTTCAAAGCGCATGCAAGGACGATCAACGGCCAGATCCTGGAGAATGATGGAGCAAAGTCCAGAAGCTTGAGAATTGTGAACTCTTCTCCTAAACCTTTTATCATTAACTCCTCGATTGTGGCATCATTGAAATTATGAAGGCTTCTACGCTTAGCCCTTATTATGAGCGTGTGTGAGTGGATGCTTATAGTGACTAATCTAATTGCTAATCGAGGGATTTTCTTTGAAAGCTCCACATTAGCAGGGCCTGATTTAAATTGATTATTTTATGCTCCTAATTTTATCATCTAACTGATTGCCTGAGTTTAATCATTATCTTGTTGGTTTCAATCTTTTGCTTAATATGTGGGAAGTTGATTAATTGTTATTGTTCTTATCATGAGGTTGTAATTTCAAATTTAATAACATCACATGTGCATGTAGTCCTACATCACACTGCCTCTATTGTTGCCTCCATTTTGTGCACTCCAAAGCTTGGAGATGTGGGTTGTAGCTCAATTCTTCTCTTTCTCCTCCTTCATCGACTCACTAGAAAATAAGATGGCTTCTCTACCTTCGCAGCCAGCAACTCAATTGTTGCGTTCTCTCCACCACCTCAAAAACTCTTCTTTAATAATTCCATTAAAAAAGACAGGCCTGCTCTCTCCTCCAATTGCATTGCTTCCTCATCACCATACTACAACACCATCACACCACAGCACCACAACATTTCCGATAGATCTCCTTCTCCGCCTTGGTTTACCCAGCAAAATAAACCGGAGCAAACAAATAAGTTGAGATCGAACTTTGCAAAAGAGCTCAAGTCTAGTCCTAGCCCAAGCTTAAACGGCTAAATCTAGCTAGTCACCATAACATAAGCTTTACTCAACTATATTACACCCCTATATAAAACCTGATGTAGGCAAGAGGGGGTCAAAATAAGTTGAGTTAAAATTTTTGTAAGTTTGTAGAGATAAAGAAACTCAAAAAAATTACAACCGAACTTGTTTTGACCTCCCCCTTTGCCTACATCAAAACCTAAGCTAAATGGAAGAAATGCTTATGGTGCAAAAAGGGTGAGCCCCCTAAAAACATTCACAAAGCACAGCTACTATGTTGGTTACTTATGGAAAAAAGTACATCATATATATGGTAAAAATCATTCACTACTTGAATGACTTGCGAAGCTTATATGTAACTGGTAATTAAGAACAAATGTTCTTTCAATTTCATGGTGGGGGAAGATCAAAAGAAGTAGCAGCAATCGTTTTCTTAAGTAGATACCCAATCAGACAATTTTCAAAGGAAAAAAAAATTGTGATCTACAAAAACTGCATGAAAAAATATTTACAAAACTTAGCACAAATACTCCAGTATGCCTGGGGAATTGTCAAAAAAGAACATTTAAGGCGCTAACCAGCATCTTAGATTTTACACAAACACTTGTAACTAGATAAAGTATAAGGGTAAGGTCATAATCATTGCAAGTGGGAGACTAAGACAAACCTGTGTACGTAGAAATCCTTGCACAAACCTATAAAAAGATCACACACCAAATAAAAAACCGGCCTACAAATTTAAGTAAGAGAAAGCACCCGTAAAAGCCTTTAATTCAAATAAAAAGACGTTCACTTCACATACTCTGGGAATCGGCCCTCTATTATTGATGTGTGAAGATCCTGGCTTAACTGCCAACAAGAATAATTTATCAGACTAGAACAAAAAGTACACAGAAATAAATTGTGTCAAAATTCAAAAACGAAGAACAAATATTTTAAGACGGTTAGTTTCTTAAGTGAGAAAATGTTAAACATGAGCCAAACAACATGGCAATTTAGCAATGTGAACACGTCAGATGGATCAAACTGGTGCTAAATAGAATTAGCAAATGTAAGCCCAAATTGTCCTAATGACTTTTGTCAGGCTTTCGTATAAAAAAAAATTAACATTTTCTCACATGAACGGAAATCCCATAAGAAAAACCCCTTGCCTGAGCTTTTTCCTAAATGTTGCATTTGATACTCAACTAGGTGAACAAAAAAATTGATAGAACACCTTCCAAATATATTTTCTTTTCCCGCTTTAAAGAAACCAGGCAGAGCAGTACGCTTGGGCTGGAGGGAAAAAATATGCTTACCCTCATCATATATGAAAGATTGTGATATGATAGAAGTTGAGAACCCATGGCATTTTTGGTAACAAGATAATGAATGTAAGCTCTTGTATAGTTCTTACATACCTGCAAAGAAGTATGTCAAATAAAAAAATCAAATGAACATAATTCATCTTGGTCTGTTCATCTGTTGGTTGGGAGCTTAGGCTACCAACTAAAAGGTCTTAAATTCGAGTCTTGTGTATGCGATGTGTGTTTGAGTCTGCCTTAATTGACCTAAATATCTCAAAAAAAAAAAAAAATCAAATGACAATGATAGACATGATCTATTGTTAATAAGGCTCACCATACATATACATGTCGAATCAATAGGGCGTACATCACTGGCCATTGCCATGTGCGTCAACTTCAATACACCCTTAATAAGAAGCAAGGAAACCGTTAATAATAAGAACAATTTAATTTCCCTAACAGGATGAAGAACTGGAAATATCCTAAGGTGAGGATGCATAAGAAACTAAGTCATTGCAAACCATGAAGCTTATGAACTAGGAACGGAAACAATAACATATTCGAAACTTTGCAAAGTTATAAGCTTCTCTTTCATTATTAAAACATTGTAAAATCAAAATAGTTGGAGACCTCGGGAAGGATCAAAATTTCAAAATAATTGTATCAACATTACTGACCTAAATGGATCATTTAGGTAAAATACAAAGTAATTACATAACGGCATCAATCATTTTTTATGCCAGGTTGCATTTGCCACATCTTCAGCCAAGCCATCGTAAAAGGGGATCAATTGCCTCGAAAAAGGGTTAAATTTTCCAATAATTGTGCTCGCATTAATGATTTTAATTGACAACCAAAGGCTGATACAGGTGAACAGCTGAATTATATTTATTCTATTAATTTATTTGTATTAGTAAAAGTATATTATTCACTTTCGTTTTCATTTGAAAAGCAACAAGTCACTCATTATCATTGCAGCAACCTATCAACCTCAAGTGTTCTTAGATAATTTGCTAACTTCAAATCACTTTTTTCTTTACATCTTGGAAGATCTACTTTTCTGCAATGTTGTTAATTATTCCAAAAAAAAAAATTAATCACAAAGCGCCATAAACATCAGGATAACTTAACGTTTCACATACATAAATGCTAAAACAAATTTTGTATACCTCAATGATGAATTAAAACGTTAGTTCTTCACAATGTGATTGAAAGTGGAAAATATAGCTCAATGGATGAATTCACCTCAGGTATGAGTGCCGTGCCAAAGCGAGCAGTACGTGTAGGATAAACACAGTCATACATATCTGCACCTAGCGCGCTGCAAACTACAATATCTAGCGGATAACCAACACCCTGCAAAATAGAGCAGACTGAATCTTGAAAGAGAAAATCTTCAAGGGGGGCATGAACATGCTTGTTCACTTATTAAATTATTTTCACGTAATAAGAATACACACCATCACATAGCGGGGCTTATCCTCTGGTAGGGCAGCAGTGCACTGTGCTACAACGCGCCAAAAAGAGTCTTTATCTTCACCTCCTGCAAGACCGCCAATAGCATAGCTGTCAAGAAACCAATCAATAATATGAGCTCTTTCATCATGTGTATATTATGCCTCAGCTGTTCCCAATGAGTTCAATGATTATAATGCAAACGTTATATTTTACCATTGTTTTATGAGCACAATAACGAAAACGTGAAGATTTTGTACCCTTAGTACGGGTGCACTTAAAAAAAGCAAATCAAAAGGTTACAAAGGCTCCACTTGATCTCATGTGGGATGTTTACTTTCAATTATAAATATTGAGTGTGCACTTAAAAAAGTAAATCAAAAGATTACAAAGGCTCCACTTGATCTCATGTGAGATGCTTACTTTCAATTATAAGTATTGAGTCTTATTTGTGACAAAATAATCATGTTTGGTCAACTGTTCTTATATCATTGCTTAGTATTTATCATTTTCTCCATTAGTATTTATCATTTTCTCATTAGGAATGGCAAAAAATTTCCCATTATTTTTATTTTACTAGAATTAAAAAAAATCAAAATTTATAATTATTATAATAATAAATAGGCTTTATGCTGTAAATCAGAAAGTTGATAGCGAAATAAAAATAAGACTTTATTTTGTCATCTCCTCTAGCAATTGCCTCCCCCTTCTCCTAATCGAAGGGTTTATCATGCTTTCTTTTTGTTTATCTTTTGTCTCCTTGTTTATTTAAGGGATTCTTCGATCTATTAATCTCCATGGTTCTCCCTCTCAGCAGTCTCTAGTTTCAAAAGTCTCCTACAATCCCCACTTTCATTGCCCCGCTCATAATCATCACTTCAAATAGAATGGCTCAACATCAATTGCGATGGAAGTTATCTTAGTTAGCAAACAGAATAATCCTGTGTGAATTAACATACAGTTACATGCATGCATAACAATGTCTAAACGACTGTTTGTTCACCAAAAAAAAAGTATGATAAAGTTTAAGCATGTTCAAGTTAAACAAAATATTATAATCATGTAACCTTGTCCTCAAGTATGTTTAGTCATAGAGCTTCTAAACAAAAAAGAATCATTTTATACAAAGTCAAGGATGCATTTCCATCAATATTTCAATAAAAGGTATTAACATTATTATATTAATGTGAAACGTAAATGCCATGTACTTGCCTAGGTGGCAAGATTAATTAAATCCCAAATCAATTTGGGGAGGGAATGGAAATCTGAAATTAAATTTCAGATTAAGTGGAATTGGCGGGATGAATTTGAATTTAAATTCAAATTTAATGAGGAGAATTAAATTGGATGAGAGGGAATTGTGGGAGGTAATTATGGAGGCTTAATGAGGGGGCTATTAATGAGATAGGAGAGAGATTATGCCCAATGAGGGGGCCGACCACATAGAGAGAGGGAGGAGATTATTTGTCATAGGTAGAGTGAGGCCCACATTACTAATCAAAGATTCAATAAAATCTGAATTAAAATTCATATTTTGAAAGAAAGGAAAATTTCCAATAATGAGGCTATCAATTAGAATTAATTGGAATTTCAAATTCAAATTCACATCCAATTAATATGAAAGCCTTAAATCAAGGAACTATTTTAGGAAAGTCTTCAATGCCTCTTGGAAACAAATTTGAATTTCAAATTTGAAATTCCCAAGAGGGAGGCCGGTGGCTTGGTCGTCCCAAGGAGTTCGGCGGAGCCGCTGGTGGTGGGATTGGCCTGGGATGGCCGGCGGTGGACTTATGGGGACCGGTGGAGGGGATTTGGAAGGAAGAGAGTTTGGTTAGGTAGAGAAGAAATAAATTGGGTTTATGAAAAAGAAAATCCGGAGCTACACACCTCGAGCAACACAGCCAATAGAACTCACAAAGAGATCTACAAGCGCCACTTCCTCAAGAACTCACAAAGAGATCTTGGGAATCTCGGAACTCACAAAGAGATCCTTCCACTTCCTCAAGAAGTCACAAAGAGATCTTGGGAATCTCGGAACTCACAAAGAGATCCTTCCACTTCCTCAAGAAGTCACAAAGAGATCTTGGGAATCTCGGAACTCACAAAGAGATCCTGCTCCTCTCATGAACTCACTAAGAGATCAAACAAGTAGAATAAAATTTCATTAACAATTCATCCTCCCATTACATAAGAAAGGACCTCTATATATAGGCCTAAGAAACTAAAACAAGACACATATGCCCCTAAGGCTTGTATAGGACGACCCTCTTAAGTGAGGGTAAAAACGGAAAATTCATAATAAAAATTTAAAAATTACAAATAAAATATAAGATAATGTGGGACGATGATAGCCGTTGATCTTCAGCTCCTCGGATAGCCATGGACGGTTGGATGTCCGCATCATATATTGAGAAGGTATTAACAATGTTATATTTGTAAAAAGAGACTAAAAGTAATATGGTAAAGAATGCAATTTTTGTTTTTCAAAGGTGATGAAATAAAGAATGATCCAAGAATGCCAAAAAGATGACAATGGACACTACAATGTCGCAAGTGTGCCCGTAATATCATCTAGCCTTAACTTAGAAATATGTAAGCACAAAAGTGAAAAATTCATAAAAAATGGTAAAAAAAAAGTTGAAAATCTAAAGAGTTGTTCGGTTGCCAGTATTTAGAATCCAGATGTCATCTAAATGCAATGTATAATAAATTCAACATATTTAAAATAGTTTTTTGTGTTTGATAGTTTGTAAAATAATTTCAAGCTATTCTTCTTTGTGTTTGGGTAACTTCAAAGTAAATCAATGTTTTAATTTTTTTTTTTCTATTAAGGTAGGGGGGAGTGTGTGAGTCAATCGAGGTTGGGATCGTCGAAAGCAGAGGCAGGAGTTGTTGCATGTGAAGAAAAATGTAAGGGCGAGGGCGTCACAAACAAGGCGTCACAAACAAGGTCTTCAAATACACAGTCATCGCAGGCATGGTCAATGTAGGCACGGTCACATAGCTATGATGCACCAACACTTCTCTTCAAAGAGGCGTGCAGTGTTTCCAACATGTATCTGACATGACACGCATTTGACACACCTCCAACACGTGTATTTCTACACCCACAACTTGACAGCTCATCTTTATTCGACGTCATCTTAACATCGACGACCAACGCCCTTTCAACATCAACGACCTCTCAACATCAACAATAGATGCTATCTCGACATTGATGCCCAATACTTACCACATAACATCAATGCCCGACTCTCGACAGCATTTTCATGTCCTTTCTCGATGCCTGATACACAACATTGACGTCAAACTCTGGACATCCTAATATTAATCATTTTAAGCACAAATTCTAGTTAAATGGCTTATAATTTCTAAATTATTTTTAATATTATACTTACTCAATGTTATACACTTTTTAAAATATAACAATTAAAATATCGTGTCCAACCCTTATTCGTATCCTATATTTTTAATAGTTGATGTGTCCCGTGTTCGTGTTTGTGCATCATAGTCTCATAGCGATGGTGAAGGTCATCACAGGCATGGTCATCGTCACTTAGAGGAGGTCGAGGTCATCATAGCAGAGGTTGCAAGCAAAGCTTCATGAAATGTGATGTACTCGAATTGGAGAATTTGTAATTCACCAAAAATAAACTATGGGGTGATTTCAAATTCTTCACAAACAAAGGGTTTGCTTTACTCTCAAACAAACAGTCAAAGACTCAAAATCCCTACATTTGATGCAATACACTCAAAACCCTCCAACTAAACAACCCTTAAGAGAGTTGTTGGAATAGTTACTGACAATTATCAGAAATTGTATCATCATTAATTGTATGTGAGTATTCAGAAGTCAAAATAGACTCAAACAAATATATTAACGCTTCATTTGGGACGGCTTTCTTACTGCTTTTTAAAACAGTTTTCTAGTACAAACATCAAAAATTTTGTACTAAAAAACTGCTCTAAGAAGCAGTACGAAAGTAATCCCAAACGAAGCCTAAGTGTAAAAAAGTGATAAAAGCTATAAATCAGATGCTATGCAATTGAACAAATTCTACCATAGCAACTTTTATACAAGACCCATCACAGATTCTGGATCTAAAGCAAAAGTCATTGCGTATGTGACCATAGTATATAATGCAACTCCACGGCAAGTAAACAAGAACTTGAAAAATATAATTTACTTCAACTAGAAAGGTACATATTTGGCCCATCTAGATAACATTAAAGACTTTCACCATTTTGTGTAAAATTGTACATCAAGATATTGGCAATTCCAGTAAAGCCATTGAAAAAAGATCAACACTATAAGAAGTCTGAAAAGAGTACAATGACAACGTAAGTATATCATACCCGGGTAAATTGCGACTAACCAGGCCCTTCACGCATATATCTCTGGAAAGTTCAGTTTATTAGTACAAGTGAAACAACTAACATGAAGTCCTGAAATCTCTTTATGAATTTCCCAACAGTTGCAGCATGTTAATTTATTCAATCACGGTTAAAACCTGAGAAAATTAAAATTTACCTGAGAGTCGGATCAAGTCCTCCCTGTACAATACCGAATAGGTTTTGCACTTCAGGTCTTTTATGAGCTGCAGTTAGTATATGCAAATGGTCCAAAAGCACAAAAAGATCATCAATAAAACACTATCTAGATAGAATGTCATAGCACTGCATCTCATTTCACCTACATAGATTTAAGCTTCATTTGGGACAGCTTTCGTACGACTTCCTAAAATGACTTTCTAGTATAAAATTTTCTAATTCAAGAAATTTTTGTACTAGAAAGATATTTTAAAAAGTAATAAAAAAGCTGTCCCAAACGAAACCTTAATGGTCCATACGTAACAAGTATGCAAAAAAAAAAAAACAGCTCAAAAAATGAAAACATCAACTTTTCATCCCATCGTTAACCTTTAATTGAATTAAAATCAATAACAGCAAAAAAATAAAAACAGATTTCTAACAAAAAAATGTTGGAGGTGATCATACCGGCTATGCATCTGTCAATCCAACGAAGAGTTCGATACATAGCTTCCTCGATTCTAGGGCCAGTAATTGTGGTCTTTACAACATCATCAAGAGCCATGATGATATCAGCTCCTATTTTGTTCTACAATGAAAACTAACATCGAAATAAAATACAACCAATAGAAAGGTTTGGAAAACAAAAAAAAGAGGACGCTACCTATAATATCTGTATATTTTGCTATCTTTATATTTTGACTTGCTGAGAGAGAACCATTGGTCCGAGCAATGGGGCAATGATATTTAGTGAAATTTAAATTAAAAAAAAAAAGGAAATGTATTCATATTGCTGATTAGCAGCATCAATTTCATAAAAGAGAGAGTTTTAAGGAAATGGAAGCTTCATCATAGGATTCATATCATTAAGCCCTATCCTACCATTTGGAGCCCCGTTTATAATCAATATTTTTCATTTGTTCTTGCTAAGTTGTAACAGAGGAGTTAAACTTATTCTTCTCAAATCATCATGCACAACTTCAAGACATGTGACCTTGAGTTTACCAATTTCCATTCTAATCCGCAAATACTTTATTTTATGTATTGTCTGATAAGCAAATTTTTTGCCCTTCATGGTGCATGTCTTACTCAAATCAACCAATTATTTGTTATTTAATGAATTTTTATAATAATATAAACTTTTTAAAATTAATTTACATTGTGTGGCATGTTTAAAAGTTGCGCATCATACCCTACATTATGCATTATGGCTCCATGCGAAACTTTGCACCATAATGAGCCATTCACCATTGACAAAGTATGGGAGTAACTAATCATATAAGCTTCCAACTATCAAAAACCTCAAACTAGATTATAAGTCCTCATAAAATGAAGGCGAAACCTCTATGTAGTGTCTTATCTGCAACATAATCTGCCTTCTAAAAATTTGACCATAAGATATAAAAACTCTCTCAATAGTGATGGGGTGCAAATTTTAGAACTCATAGTTGGTAAATTAGCAACTAATTCAATATTGACAAAATACAAGCAACTTCCAGATGATGTTGTTAGAACCAAAAGTACTTTAAAAAAAAAAACATAATGGTAATGTGCGCAATGAAATACATTTTTTACCATGAAATCCAATTTTTAAGCAACTAAAGCGTCATAAAGTGTTTACCTGGATGCGGATTGATTCTTCCGGAGTTAATAACATAGGTTTACCATCAGCAGGAGACTGGTAAAATAAGCATAGAACACTAAGAGTTATGAAGGAACGCCAATGTCAACAGAAGATGAAAAGTTTTGCCTCTTAATTAAAAAGGAATAGGAAAGTGAACTGGAAACATTAGGCGTCAACATAAACATGCATATCATCTTATTGCTCCATACAAAACAATGACGTAGCAGGAGGAACAGGTTTTCAAACCAGTTAAAAATAGGTTGTAAAAGCAATAATAATTATAGTTTTAAGGGTTAGTCTACTTCTTGAAACAACTTTTGATAACCTCCAAAAGCATTCATGTAGTATGCATAAAAAATCACCAATTACTTGCTAAATATTATGAAAATAAAGAGTCAATAAGGCTAATCAGTTTAGTATTTGCACATTTAACTTGATAATGAAACCATAGAAAATGATTTGACAAAGATCTTGAGGTGGCCTAGGGATAAAGCAGGAGCTTAGCACACAACTTCAGCTTTTACATTCTAAAATCTATATGAAGGATTCCTTCAGGAAGATCTCATGACAGGTAAAGAAAGAGAGGTAAGAGTACCTGAAACGTTACTCCCTCTTCAGTAATATCAGCCAAATGCAGCAGGGAAACCTACAAAAAGAAAAAAAAAAAGCAATATCATGTCGTGGGTCTCAACAACAGCCAATCTTAGCACAAACACCAACAGTTGGAAAAAACTTTTGCAGCAGGAATGTGTAAGAACTGGTAGCATGTAACTTTCTGCTAAACTCGTGGGCATTCTATTTCTTGCTTCAGAAGGAACCTGTGATAAGCATCGAGGGTGCACCAAGGGTGAATAAACATGAAAGATAAAATGATCAAATAAGTACAACATAGGTTGTAAGTTATAACCAAGACTAATAGCCCATAACAAACTATTTACAAAATCTTTAACTTTGGAGCTTAGATTTTTTTCATTTTGTATTAACTATCATCAAAATGAAATTTTCTATTATTACGAATGATTTCACGTTTGTTTTTTGTGTTTTCACGAAACAAAAAACCGTTCATAATTACTTACAAGACATATATTTGAAATATTTGCACATAGGCCCATCATTTTTTCAGAAATTAGATCATCGCTATTTCCCCTGGTAGCCAATTAGATTCATTTAACCATTAGTGAATTTTGTTGCATTTTTTTTCCTGAAATGCGGACTTAAATATTGTTTATTCTCCATTGAAATTTCAGCCCTCATTTGCTAATCCTTAAAAACCTCACCAACATCCCTAGCACCTTCTCCCTTCACTATAACAGGCAGCACAACAAGTGAGGAATGAAAAAATCTTATGAGGAAACTGGTATAATGTTGTCCTAAATGAAAAAAATTGATGACAAACTAAAAAACTTACAAGAAAAAACGTAAAAGAACCAACATGCAAACCACGTCAAAAACAAGGAACCAACTTTGGGGATCTCAAAAAAAAAAAAAAAAGGCAGGCTAGCAGCAACGAGGAAAAAAGAGAAACGTATATTATGCATTAAACACCATTGAACCCAAAAAAAAAAAAACTACTAGGAAGAACCGCTTCTCCAAACAAGATCAAAAAGCACCAAAAGGTAGTATAATAGACATAAAAATAATTTTTCAGACCAGTATAATCTTTCAGAGGCCAATTAAACTACCACTATCAATAGATGTTATAAATGGGTAAGAATTCCACATTCAAACTTTTTTGTTCTTTATCCACAAACGCTTCATTCATGACTCCTTCAACAATACCAAGGTATTAATAAAGACGCATTCTTTAGCATTTTGGGTAAAGTTAATTGAATATTTTACTTCTTCAATCGCACCATAATCCTCTAATTCATTTTCAATCATAAAAGGTCATTAACATATAAAAAAGAGCCTAATTCAGTGCATGAAACTCCCCTAATACAGGCTTTATGGAGGGATTGATGTACAAAGCCTTGCCCCATTGTTTGCAAAGAGGTCGAATCCATAGTTCAGGACCTCCATATCACAGTAGAGATAAACCAGTACTCTTAAGTCTATCTATGCCATAACCCAAGATCCTTCCCATCATTTAATATTTGTTCTAAATCCTCTACATAAAAGCACAACATGCCAGTTGCGACATTAAATGGCATGACCAATATGATAACTTAGGATGCAAGGACAAGAAAATGTAAACAAGAAGAGCACTAACAGCTGGAGGAAATATTGCACGCCAAGGTGAATTAAAAGAATATGAAGGAGAAAACAACAACCATTTGAAAACCACCAGAATCAGTAAGTAATGCTCTTTTCCAGTTCATAAATTTGTGAAGACCGCCGATATCATCTATCAATTCAGCACCAGGATGAAGAGCCAAATGGTATGTGTTCCCCAAAATGATCTGACAACCAATTTCCTCCAGCTGGTTGTTAGTTAGACCCTTTATAGAACCTAATAGAGCATTATCAATGAAGTTAATTCCAGTGAATTATAAAACACATAAGAGGAAATTGATCAACCCAAATTGAAACACAAAACAAG